TTTCATAAATTACTTAAAAAAATCTAGTAGAATGTTACTTAATTTCATTATTAATGATATAATATGCGATGTTTATTAATCAAATTTGAGTGACTTAACTCAAGTGGCTTAAGGCATAATTAGTCCTTGATGTACGTTTCGTTTGCTTCAATGCTTGCAGAAGCTTGCACGGAAGAATCCGTTTTCGAGTTAAACGATTACGATTATCCATTAGTATCAATGTGAAATGATTATTTATCATCGCGTTTATATTCAATTATAGACAAAATATTTTATTAAATATTAATACTGTAGACAGGAACATAATGATAAAAAACAGTCAGCATTCAACAAAGAAGAGACAAAAATAATTAATAAAAACTAAAGCAAATGTCGGAGCGCATTACCCAAGTAGAACAATAAGTCGCGATAACGTTGAAATAACGTCATTTTGACGTTATCGCAAGTTATTGTTCTCTCTCTCCCTACTTGGATATATAAACAATTATTGTTAAAATATTATATAAGTATCACAATTGCAATCGCGAATATATCGACCATGATTTTAGTCCTCTTTAGTAAACAAAAAATACAGAAAATATTAAAAATTAAAGTATAAAGAAATATATATTTAAATAAAACTTAAATTATATACATAAAGAATGATTTTACTAAAATATTTAAAACTTTAGCTACATACAAATCTAAAAATAATTTTGTTGAATCATCAAAATAATTATATAAGAAATTCAAGGATGATGAGCTATGCTGTCAAATGTTATGACATTCTAACAATCAGTTTGAACACTCTATATAACTATTTTGCTATTCCAGCAAAATTATTTTCAAATCTATATCTAGTTAAAATTTTTAATATTTCTGTTAAAAACCCGACACGTTAATTTGTATCTCGCATTTTTGTATTTCATGCTCGTCCCACCAGAGCGAGAGACTATCTCGTTTCATCATAGTTTATGACATCGGACTTACACAGCGTGCCGTCTGTGCATGTAAGTTAGTCCGCTATACACCTGCACTGTGAAAAGCTCCTACTATTCTGATTTACTTTAATAAATTAACTTTTTGTGCATCCTTAAAGTAGTGGTTGATTCAATTAATTTCATGCGCGCACTGGAGGCTGCAGGCTCAGGATACGGGTTCACTGCGTGATACCACTACTTCTTTAGTGATCTCTGTGTTTCGGTCATTCGAGGTGCGCGTCAAGAATTTCTGGATACCTCGTGATTCTCCTGTAAGAACTCATATGTGTCAAGTTGTCGACCTTTTTTTTTCTCGACACGCGTGCCACGATTTTGTTTGGATCCACAAAAAATTGCGAGTTAGATTAAAACGGAGAGTCAATGGCGGACTCCCTAGACACGAAAAACGTGACGAAGTTCGACGGACAAAATTTCCAACAATGGAAATTTCAAATGAGAGCGATCTTCATAGCAAATGACCTATTCGATATAATTAATGGAACGACAGTGAAGCCGGAAGCAGCAGGAGAGCAACAAACTACTTGGTTACAAAAGAACGCCAAGGCAATGGTACTCTTATCATCCGCGATGCATTACTCGCAACTGAAGTACCTAATTGCATGCGATAGCGCTGCTGAAATGTGGGCAAAACTATCGGCGATTTACAAACAGAGTGCAACAAATAAATTACTGTTTACAAGGTTTCACGAATACCGCATGAAACCCGGTGACTCGGTATCGCAGCACATCGCTGAAGTCGAGAACATGGCGAGAGAGCTCAAGGATGTCGGCGAGGAGATCTCTGATATTACAATAATAGCAAAAATCCTTGAATCCCTACCAGCCAAGTACAACGCTTTCGTGGCCGCCTGGAATAGCGTAGAAGCGGCCAATCAGACCATCTTTAACCTGATGCAAGGGCTTATCAAGGAAGAGACGCAATTCACTGCAACCGACGAGACGGCGAGCGCGTTGGCGACCGTCAATCTGAAGCAACACAAGGAGGGATCGAAAAAAAAGCAGCAACAAGGAGATGGCTCCGAGCAAGTGAGGTATAAATATTACGAATATCGATACTGTCGTAACAAAGGGCACATCGCCTTATACTGTAAGAAGAGACGCAATTACTAAAAAGATTGAGATGAAAAAAAAACGCGACGCGAATAATAGGTACAGAGACAGTATCGCGGATCTCGACGCGTTTATTGTGAGTAACAATGATCCTCTTGTTTTCCGAAGAGTTCTGAACAGTGCAATAAGTTAAAATGAAACAAACTATATCCGTTTCATTCTAACTTATTGCACCAGTGCATACCAGTTTAGAATTTAGGATAGAAGAAAAATAAACCTAATGCTTTTGCAATCGATCACGTAAGCACAGACTCATGGTTTTTCGACAGCAGTGCTTCGCAGCACATAAGTTTTCGAAGGAAATGGTTCGCGTAATTCAAGAATGATTGAACTGGTTTTCGGCATGTGTATTTTTTGCGGCATAAAGACGTTTGATGCACTCAAGGAATGAAGCGATAATCCTTAATAAATTCAGTCGAAGAATTTAAACAATACGCTCTGATAATGGTACGAAGTATTTATATATATATAAATTATCGTGTTCGTAATTATTTGAAAATTACGTGGTATTCAATTGGAATTTTCCGCATCATACTTCGGAATAAAATGGCGCTTCAGAGCTTAAGATGCGCGACTATTGTCGAGAGTGCTCGGGCAATGTCGTTAGCAAAAAAATTTGCTTGTCTCTGGACCAAAACTGCCAATACGGCTGTTTGTGTGTGCAGAACTCCATCTTCCCGATCGAAATTAACAAGACCGTACGAAGCATGAACTGATAAGAATCTTTCGCACGTAAAGATTTTCGGGTGCAAAGCGTATATTCATATTTCGAGTTAACAGAGGAAGAAGTGGCATCCAAAATAAAAAAGCTTATTTTTATCAGTTACCAAGGCGATCAAGAAATTACCGACAGATCTAGAAGATAATCTTGTGAGACGTTAATTTTAATGTAACGAGTATGTCGAGTCAAAATTTGCGCACACAGAGTTTGGTACACAGAACATATCTTATCTAAGCGAGGAAAGCGTATCAAACGACAATGAACAGCTCGAGCGACAGAATGACTTCATTCAACGCGATCAGTGCGCGAATGAGCGACACACGACGGATTTGGATGATAGTCCGCAACTAAACTTGAGACGTAGTTTATTGTTGCGCGCACCATGTCGATACGAGGCTTGCTTTATCTTGCGTTTGAACCAAAAACGTATAACAAAGCCATGATCGGGAAAGATCCGAAAAAATGTATTCAAGCTATTCGTGAAGAACTAGCATCTCATAAACAAAATCGAACGTGGAATATAATGTCTTTACTTCGCGACCGTGGCGTCATAGGACATAAGTGGGTGTTTAAAATGAAAATTACGTCATCGGATGAAGTCGCACGTTACAAGACGCTTATGGACATTCGCAAAAATGCTTAAGGATTTTCATAAAAGACAGGATTAGATTATAATACAATTTTTTCCCCTGCGACGATTCTGTTTTTGTCAGCCGCCGCAGTTAACGATCTTGAAGTACATCAATCCGATGTCAAAACGGCTTATTTGAATAGCGAATTAAAAGAAGAAATTTATATGCGTGTTCCTGAAGGTTTATGCGCTTTAGACAGCAATTCAGTATTATGCAAACTTAATAAAATGTTATACGGCTTGAAACAAGCCGAACGGTGATGGAATAAAAAATTCGATGCGTTTTTAAAATAGTTCAAATTTATTCAAAGTGGCGCTGATAAGTGCGTTTACATCGAATCAATCAATAATGATAAGGCATACTTTGTGCTATATGTAGACGACGGCTTGCTAATGGCCTCAAAATTGGAAACCATCAATCTAATCCTAGATATCCTAAAGGATAATTTCGACATTACCGCTAAATAGAGTCGATTATTTCGTGGGAATGCAAATCAATCGCACCAGCAAGGCGATTTTCATTCATCAAATATTGAATTAATTTTGCATAGATTCGCGACGCGCAAACTGTCAATGTATCCGCGGACGTCATTTTAGAAAAGATGCATAGTGACGATGAATTGAATGATATCTCATACCGTGAGGCCGTCGGGTCGCTCATGTTCGTGTCAATCGTTTAGAAATCCGACATATAGCGTTCGCTGTTAAGCTTGTACTATATATAGATATCATGTCTTAGCGCCGAGGTACTACTGTGTCTCCAGATTTAGAAAAATATGGCAATCCTCATTAGCAAACCGTCAAGCGAATATTCCGATATTGAAAAGATACCAGAAATCAAGGTATAATGTACAGAGACAGTGGGAACGGACTCAAACTGGCTGGGTTCTCGGATTCCAATTATGCTAGCGACAAAGACACTAAGCGTTCCATAATTTCATTTATTTATTCGAATTAGTAAACGGATCCGTAATTATGGTGCTCAAGATGATAGAACACAGAGTCTCAGCATCACTGAAGCGGAATTCGTTGTAGCGAGTGAAGCAGCACGAGAGGAAATTTGACTGCGCGAACTAACAATAAGTGATATCGGACATCGATGCAAAAAACCGTCCACTCTATACGATAATCAAAGTGCGAGCAGTTTAACAGAAAACCCAGAGTTTCATCGACGTACGAAGCACATTGAGGTTCGACCTTTATAATAGAGACATACGCGAACGAAGAAATTAATGTCTAATACGTATGTAATATGTATGTAAGACCAAAAGACGGACCTGTTAACCAAATCAAGCGCGTGATCACTTCTAAGAGTTATGTAAGAATGTAATCGATATAATACCAAAAACGCTCAATCAGTGAAAATGTTAAACCTGACGCGTTGATTTGTATCTTTGCATTTTTGTATTTCATGTTTGTCCCATCAAGGTAAGAGACTGTTTCGTGTAGTCATAGTCTATGACACCGGACTTACATATCGCGCCGTCCGTAAGTTACATCTGCTATATACTGGCATTGTGAAAAGCTCTTGCTATCTTGATTTACTTTAATAAACTTTTTGTGCATCTTTTTAAAGCAGAGAGAGTGACAGTTCAATCAATTACCTGCGTCCACTGGAATAATTTTAACAAAACTATATTTTCTATGTAGACGATATTTGCAGAGTATTCAATACTTATATAATATTTTAACAATAAATATCTAAACACTACACTCCGACACTCGCTTTGGCTATCATTGGCTTTTTTTTATTGATTTATTCTTATAGAATAAATTTTTTTATTTCTATTTTTAATTATTGTTTAGTCAGCATTCGATAAGAAACAAGTAATTGCTGGATAAATATATTATAATTAATATGTCAAGATTTTTTTAAACGAGCATTTATAGTTACTTATAAAATAAAATTCCTTTTTAATTAAATAAGTACAATGCTATAAAGTTTTTCAAACGTTTCGAGACTTACAAAGTCTTTCTTAGTGAAATACATAACAATATTTTTATATATCCCCTTACAAAGTCAACGAACTTACAATAATACAATAATAAAAATTATCACTAGGCTAATCTTATATACTTATTTCTTCGTTTAGATGTTACGGATTGAAATAGGTATCTAGTCAGAAGTTAGAAAGTTCAAATTATAAAAGTGTGTTTTATTAATTCTCGGTTATTATCCAGAATCCAGTTCAGTCAACAATTTCATAAAAAATATATATATATATACGACAGTCCGATCAAGAATTTTTTCAACGACTACTATATTCTGTATAATAAATGTCAATTTATAATTAAATGATTAGTATAATTAATTGAATATTAATAAGAATTTATGTTCACAACTTACGTTAATTTATATAGAATAGTCTATTGAATTAAAATCAAAATCAAAAACTGTGTATAATAAAACGTGTATAATAAAACAGCTCTTGCTTGTCAGACGTTTTGAAATGGATTAATATTATATGTCAGAGAATATAAATATTTCATTAAGTCATGACAAAAACAAGTATATTCGAAAACATTATGAGCTTATTTTTCTATATTTATTTATACAGGCTAAAATAATATGTAGTAGAATGAACACTAAATGAAATTCACATAATCGTCATAGATTTAATTTTAATTTTATTAAACTAACTTTTGGCATGAATATTGCTTTTTTATTAAAACAATAGATTGACATAAATTATAGACTTATTGAAGTGTGTTCGAAACTTGAATTTTTGAAACATTGTAAAAATCACAATGTCATTCCAGCTAACTTAAATTACAACAAAAAGTTAAGTCTACATCATCATATATCTATTAGAAGATTTGACAGGTATCTCTCTCTCTCTCTTCGGATTTTTAAAAAGAAATTATTAGACATTAAAATTTTCGATCTTTATAGAAAATATTAATACTTTATTGACTTTTTGCAGAAAGGATTATCCTCCATAACTTGGAACTTAACAAATTCATTACCTAATTACATTTGATTTAACATCTTTGAGTAATATACTCGTAATAATTCATTCTATAATTGTAAAATGAGATTATTTTCCTGAAACATAAAAAGAAATTTAATTTGTTGATACACAAGAATAAAATTGATTCCAAAAAGATCCAACACAATTTTCTTGCATCTTAAATAATAAAATTAGTAAAATTTAGTCCTAATAAATCTGTAATTGGATCTAATAAGTCCCTTAATCAATTCAATTTGTTGAGACATCGATATCCTATCATAGTTTTTGATTTATTTATTACATTAGTAATTCTTATTCATAATTGATCTAGCATAAGGAAATACAATCATGTTCCTTATTATCTCACCTTCATTTTCAGTATTTGAATTGTTGCTCTCAGTTGTAGATCTATTGACTGCTAAGTTTTTAATTTTTAATTTTATAATTTAAACTTTTAAACTTCTGATTAGATACCTATTTCAATCCGTAACATCTAAATGAAGAAATAAGTATGTAAGATTAGTCTAGAGCGATAATTTTTATTATTGTATTATTGTAAGTTCGTTGACTTTGTAAGGAGTTATATAAAAATGTTGTTATATTCACTGAGGAAGATTTTGTAAGTCGAAACATTTGAAAAACTTTATAGTATTGTTATTTAATTAAAAACGAATTTTATTTTATGAGTAACTATAATTGCTCGTTTAAAAAAGCCTTGACATTAATTATATTGTGTTGCATGTATACGAGCCTATTTTTTTATGGATAAACATTGTTTTACTAAAAAATTGTAAAACAATAAAATAATTTCAAAGAACTAGTCTAGAGTATAAAATATATAGTATAGAGTATAAAAACATACTGGATTATTATGTTTTCTATCATCATTATATAATCGTATTATTATGTTTATCATAATTATATAGGTAAAATTTAAAATATTATTGTTAATAGTAAATTATATACTTTTGCAAATCGCTGCTTTTTTTATGATTAATATGAGTAAAAAAATATTTAACTTTTTAAAAAAGGTTTTCATTGAAAATAATTGTACCACTGTGCTCTTTTAAGCAAATAGATTAATATATTTAATGAGTACAAGTTCTCACTTAAGTTCCATGATAAAAGTGAACTACGAATTATTCAATTAACTTATCGCCTGCGAGGAAAATGTATTAAGAGGCACTAAATGTCTTACTGTTGAAATTTCGAGGACTGGCATTCATTTTAATGCTTTTACTAAAGTCACGACTAAGAAAGTTTCTCTAAAAGATCGATTACAGATCCTGTAAAATATAAGGGTCGTGACAGTGCCGTAACGAAATTTCAAACTAAAATTGCAAATAGTAAATCGTCATTTTATTTAATTTCTTTTTATTGCATTATTTAATAAATCCGCGTAAGCGCGCAACGAAATATTCTCGAAATAATATGTATTTTTCTGGAAAAAAAATAGTAAAACAATAATCCGTTTTCGGTATTTCCTGTCACGCTAAAGATCTGCCTTTAATAATTTTTAAAATAAATTTTCGCGAATTTATGCTTGACGTGGCGAAACATAACTGACGCTAATATACCATCTTCGAATATACGGCACTGTTATTACATCAGGTGGCAAAGCTTCCTATATTCCGTACCGATCGTAGATTTGTCGGGGGAGTTTCTAACAGCAATTACGTCGCTAATGGAGCCTCCACGGAGAGATGCTGGTCGACTTTTGCCAAAGTCTCTCATCCAGGACTACTCTTCTGGTTCCTGGACTTTGCGACGACGACGTCGAAACTTCCCGCGGATCCCGGATAGTTTTTGCGCTTCCGCCGAGTTACCCGGGAGCATTCTCATTGATCTTTAAATTGCGGATTTACAGAGATCTTCCGTTTGATTCACGATTTCTGACCAAAGGGACTTTGTTAGATGAGATTCGTCGAATAGTTTCCTCGGAACGGCAATAACAATTTTTATCTAAAAATGCGCCCGCAATGAAGACAGATAAAGTTATGTGTTATGTAGTAATGTATTAATAGCTTTATTATCTATCTCTTAACGGAAAGCATAATAATCCAGTTGCATGACACGCGTGATATACGATTGGAAAATGTATAAAGACACTTCGTATAATCCATCAATCTCGCTATTGCCATGTTATCTCGTTAAATGCAGTAAACGGCGGTGACATGTTATTTGCAGCACGCTTTGCATTTAAATGTACCTGCGGATTTTTGTGTGTGTATGGTATCTTGTATATCTCATTTCAGACACGCGACAAGACAAGGAGAGGGATAAACACGAAGCCGAATACATGCTACAGGAAAATGGCAAAGCAATGTACGAATAAGCTTGTTACAGATTGTGACGTATATACATCTAAAAATAAATACGGGACACGTAGACTGGATAATGGATTATTGTGTGCGACAGGGCTCGCCAGCTTATTAACGTTTCGACATGGCCAGAGGAGGCTTGCATAAAACTTTTACGAACCGTATACAGTTTTGTATGGGGCAAACGCATGCTTTTTACGAGAATACTTCCGGCGTTGAAATCTTCTCATCCCTTTTATCGTAACTGTAAAAGTAACCGCGCCGCGCCCGTTTATTGCCCCATTTTTTACGTGGCACGCGATTCCAGATATTGTGAAATGTCCTGGTACAATAGCTCCTAATCCATCCCGATACTCGTTGAATTCTTTAAATTCCTTTCTCTACCATCACAAGAAATATGTTCAATCTTGTTATTTCTAGCAAGTCAACGAACAGTGAAAATAGACAAGACTCTATTTCGGTGCATTTTTTGACAAATTTAAAATAATACGTCACATTCTCTGAGAATTTTGTTGAAATATGTATATGGAAAGAGTGATTTTGATGAAGTATCTAAAAATTTAGCTAAATATACAGTCTGAAAATAATTTTGTCGGGCCATAAAAATAATTATGTAGGACGTTCATTATGCTGCTACATTAGGACGTTAGGAATGCTGCAAAAAATTTTAATATTTATAAAACTGAGAAATGTATTTGTAAATTTATATACAAATATTATTAAGCATTAAAATTCTTTAAATAAAAATAGGACTTTTTTATTTGATATTTTAATAGCCAGCTTGAATTACATAATTATTTTGATGATCTAACAAAATTATTTTTTGTACGTAGCCAAAGTTTTATAGACATTTTAACAAAATCGTTCTTTCCATGCAGAAAAACGTGAGAAAGATTTAGTGAAAATAAATATCGAATATTTATTTTAAGGATTTGATTAATAATCAATTTGCATTTGTCAATAGGGAATTTATGTCATCGGAAACGAAGGAGGAGGAGGAGGAGGATAAAGCTTCAGAGTCGTCTTCGCTAGTACCTGTGCCTTACTACAAACTGGTGAGCTTTCCCTGTTAGAATAATTTATGAGTGTGTCCTCAATCAAATTTCAAGCGCGATACTCCCTGTGGCAGAAACCGGTACATTTGAGGAATCAAGAATATATGGGGTGTTCCTTATCGTTCTTCACTCTTCCTTTCTTCTATACAGATTCTTTGTTTAAAGCCAGAGCCGCTTTTCTGAATATTAATTGTTTTATAACTTGGGAAATATCAGAATATTAATTCTTCTTAGGACTTCAACTGTACTCAATTAAATACACAACTAAAAAATCAGCCAAAAAAATAATATCAGTTAATATCAGTTAAAAAATTTTGTCGTAATCATATCCTAAAACCAATTGCTAAAAACAAATTATTTGATTTTTAATAGCACAGTACAATTATATTTTGCTGCAGTTTTAGGTAAATAATTTTTAAACGAATAAGTGAATCCACACACATACACACACACACACACACACACGCGCGCGCGCGCGCGCGCAATAGAACTTTTGTACAAATATTTATTAAAGTTTTGTTAGTATAGTAAAATGAATTTGATTTCATTTGTAATGTTACTTTCTCATCAAATTTATAAATAAGTACTACAAAATACTATTTCAGATAAAAATCAAGGCAAAAAATTAAAAAACTTTTAAATAAAAGAATTGTGTTAAAATTGTATACAGATATTCAAACGTATCATAATAATAGAACAATCTTTAAAATTTTTATTTATAATAATTATAGTAATGTTTAAGTTGTAGTACATACATCTTTAAGGTAAGGTAACACACATCTTTAAGTTTGGCATACTCTGTATATTCTTTTTCTACATCGCGTTATAAACGAAATGGAGCACGCAGGATGGAGTGATCCACCGGCAAAGCCGTTAAGAATGTTACTTCTCTCCCGATCACATTGGCTGTGCAGCATCTTTGAATGAGCGACAGTGATTAATGATACTGCTCTCTGTGATAAACGACAGTTAATGACTCATTGCCAGGATACATTTGTATAATTTTCCGCATTATAATTCTCACTTAATAGACCGTAAACTCTCTTGTACACTCGAGAATTAAACTTGGACGATGTTTTTCATGACACCGTAAATTTGAATATATTTTTCGATCAATTATGATTGTTCTTGCATAGGAGTAGGTTGCGTGGCTGCTCGTTAATCATGGTTAAGCCGAGTATTAATTTTCCAAGCTAAATCTCTCGGAAAGCACGAATCCACATTGCTGAATCATTCAAAAACGCGAGTTTGCCACGTCAAATAACTCGTAAACGTGCTTGCTCGAAACTTTTGGAAAAAGAACACTTCACGTTTCAAACGCACACCGATCTCGTATTTTCTCTCTCTTTTTCTCTCATATTCTTATGGACACGTATATCTCAATAAATTTCATATATCTGCGCTATTTGTAAATTATAAAGCATAATATTCGCAACGGTAAATTGCACTCTACACGTAGCTGCTTAGAGAAAAAGACATAGCAATGGCAATTATAAAATTGATAACTGTATGACCCCTACAGCACAAGATTGCACAAAAGTTGCAGCAACACTGCTGCATGTTGCAGCAATATTGCTGCAAATTCTGTATGGAAAGTTCTATATGTAGAATTAATATACATCAGTTAATTAAATATTAATTGATTAAATATTAATTAGTTAAATTATTTAAACACGGTTCAATTATTTTGAAATTATTGTAACTACAATAACTATAAAATAATAAAATAATAAAATAGTTTAATTAACTATGTAAATTAATTCAATATATAAAATAGTTGTTGTCTTTTAAGTTGCCATCACTATACGGAAAGAACGATTTTATTAAAGTATCTAACAATTTAACTATTTAGATATTCATTTAAAAATAATTTTGTTGAACTATCATAATAATTATGTAAGGTGCTTAAGCAAGATAAAGTGCTGCAAAAAATTTTGAAATTCTACAGCTAGCTTAAGTATCACCTACGAGTATATAAATCTGGCACTCGGCTTTGAAAAAAAAATTTTTTTTGATATATTAAATTAAGCTTGGTTTGTACCACTTTTCTTTTTGTTTGTACCTCAAAGGATTAAAAATTATAAAGGGTTGAAAAAATGCCAGCACCCTACTTTAAGATATTTTAAATTTGAATAGCTCTCATCCCTATTTTGAAAATTCGGTACAATCGTCCCCTTGAGAGTACAAACAAAACCAATGGTGGTACAAACAATCCCGAAACAGTACCCGTTTACAGATTTAAAATATCGTAAGAAATGGCAAAGTTAGTTCTAACCTCTATTTTGAAAAATCGATACAATCACCCCCTTGAGAATACAAACGAAAAGAAAGATGGTACAAACAAGTACAAACAATCCCGAAACAGCACTCGTTCACAGATTTAAAATATCATAAGAAATAACGAAGTTAGCTCTCACTCCTATTTTGAAAATTCGGTACAATCACCCCCTTGAGGATACAAACGAAAAGAAAGGTAATACAAACAGGTACAAACGATCCCGAAACAGCACCCGTTTACAGACTTAAAATATATTAAAGTGGGGTGCTGGTATTTTTTTTAATCCTTTATAATTTTTAACCCCTTAAGATACAAACAAAAAGAAAGATAGTACAAACGGGTACAAACCGAGGTTAATTTAATGCGTATCTAAAAAATTTTGTTTCTTAAAGTTGGGCGCCAGGTTCACATAGATTTAAGTATCCTATATAATTATTTTGATGGTCCGACAAAATTATTTTAAAACTTGTATCTAGTTAAATTTTCAGATAATACTTCAGCAAAACTGTTCTTTCCGTGTTTTTTTTCTAAATATTGTGTTATAACTGTCATTTATCACGCTGAACTTTCATTGCCAATTATTACATTCTTAAATTTTTTGCATACCGAAAATCTTTATTATATTATCGAAAACTTCTTTCATTGTAACTATGTTTTGATTGTTCCAAACTTATCAGTTTCGTTTTGCGACGTGGGGCGAGTTGATGCTGATCCTCTTAGGCCTGATACTGAGTTGCTTTACAAGCCTAAGTATTCCAATTGCCATTATTGAATATGGAGAATTCAGCAATATGCTATTGGATCGTACTAGAACGAACGACACGACCACACCAACCGTCATATTACCATTATTTGGTGGTGGGAAGATTTTGTAAGTAATATTTTATCTTTTTATTTCTTTATAATAATTATCCTTCGAAATACGTTTTATAACAATAAGAAAAATATATATTAACAAGAACAGAAATATATATTACGATGTAATAGATTACTCAAGACAGATTCTCTTAAACATCGGATTGAAGAAACAGCAGAATTATTTTATTCTGACACGAAGCGTTATTTATTTCAGATATGCTAATGCAACTCACGAAGAGAGAATGAACGCACTATATGACGATTCGGTGGCCTTTGGCATCTCTTGCGCAGTAACATCAGCGGTTATGTTCGTCCTTAGCATGCTTATGGTCGATGTACTTAATATCGCTGCATTGAGACAAATTTCCAGAATTCGCAAGATATTCCTGAAAGCCGTTCTCAGGCAGGACATGTCGTGGTACGATACGAACACATCAACCAATTTCGCAAGCAGAATCAACGAGTGAGTTTTCTTCTTATTATTACGCAAATGCATTGTGTCGTATCGCGGATTGAAAATAACAGGAGTTATCTCGATGGTAAAATTTACATTGGTTCGTTTATTTAATCCTTGAACGACTTTTCAGTATGCCATATCGGTTGGCTTTCCTTTTTCCAATATTTTTTCAATACTTTTTCCATATGCTTGTAACTTTTTTTATTAATAAAGATACATTTGTTTGGTACTGTTATATTTTTTCAGGGAAAAACAGTTTTGCTAAAAATGTAGCTAGAACTGGAAATCATAAAAATGATCTGAAAATAAATAATTTTGTTGATCAAAATAATTATGTATACTCAAACTGATTATTAGAATGTCAAACTTTTTTGCAGCGTTGCCTATAATTGAATTTCCTACAAAATTATTTTCAGATCTGTATCTATCTAAATTTTTACACGAAAAGAACAATTTTGCTGAAGTATCTAAAAGCTCTTAGCTAGATACAAATTTAAAAATTTTGTTTGACAAAAATAATTTTGTAAGAATCTTAAGCATAATAAGCAATGCTGTAAAATGCTTTAACATTCTAACTTTAATATTTTAATGTCCTACGTAATTATTTTGACAGTTCAGTAAAATTATTTTCAGATTTGTTATCTGCTAAAATTTTAAATATTTCAACAAAACCGTTTTTTCCGTGTGACATTTAAGGATTAAAAAGGGGATGTTATAACTTTCTGGACTTGATTAAAAAATTAACACAGTTATTGACACGGTCTATAAGACCTATTTAATTTATATTAAAAAATACTAATTATTAATCTCAAGGAATCAAAATGTCATAACTTATTTATATAAAAAAAGAATAAAAAAAATATTTAATATATTTTTGACAAAGAGATTTATATAATTGGATTCTATTTTTTTTTAACCTACTGTCAGCTCTTGAAAGTTAAAAAAAAAATTTAAAATTGTGTAAATCGTGTTTCGTTCGTTAATAACGTATTAAATAATTTCGGTGTTAAGCAAAGATCTAATAAAGATTAAGAACTCCGAGATACGATCTCTCGTTTCCGCGGAATAATTTTAACGGGGAGGATATTCTGTACGTTCACACGCCAGTGCGTCCTCAAAGCGAGAACGTTGTACCTTCGATTTTCGAGACCATCGATGTAAACGCAGGGCGGTCGCGGGAGGAGAAGCGAAGAGCAAAGTTCAGGAGGCGAGAACCTGTGTGTTCATCAACAGGTGGGCGTTTGCTCGAAACTCGAAAAGCCTGTTCCCACACTGTCTCTGCTTCCGCTTGCATTACACCGTATAGTAATTGGATGAGCGACTCGTATTAAGTTATTAGCCGTGTGAATCGCAAGTATGTTAATTTTTATTTCGAGATAACCGGTCTCGTTATTCGTCCATGATTCTATTTTCACATCACACTGAAGATAGAAAAAAAACATGAAACAAAAAAGGTGAACTATTGTGCTTTAATATATCATTATGCGGAATTAAACTAGGAAACACATAAAAAACGTAAAGCAATAAGTCTTAAGCAGTAAATAAGTCGATCAATCATAGTAAAGAACGTAAAGTAGTTCTGTGATTGGCCGATTCGCTTACTACTTACGTCCATTCTACAATTGTGTAAGCGTAGTTGTAAGTAGTTGTAGTTGTAAGAATTAACCAATCACAGTTAAATATGAAGAAAATATTTGACTATGATTAGTCAATTCTGACAACTACAATCACTTACAACTACGCTTATGCAATTGTAGAATAGGCTTTACAGCCTTACATTTTTTATGTATTTTTGGTTTTACAGACATGTCTGCAACAAACATGATAACAGCAATGTCGTTATCACGTATTTTGCTATCTAGAAAATATATAGACACATCTATAGTAGAATGTACACACAATCGACTATTTTTCATTGGCCAGCTATCGATTGTCCAGCAACAGCTGGCGTGACATAAAGATTTTAATCTTGTGGCAGATGGAGTGCAAAAAACGTGAGATTGCGATAACGCTGACAATGACAGATGCTGATAAACGTTAAACTTGATCAAAACTCAATTTCGTAGCTTTGAACACGTGCTTGCTTTAAAGTTGAATCTCAGGATCTTATTATGTAAAAGTTCTTATTATGTAAAAAATATTGAATCAAAATTGAGTCGTAGAAGAACATAGGATTTATTTAACTATTATATTATCAATTATACGATAAAAAAATGTTTTTTTAATATACAGAGATTTGGAGAAAATAAAAGACGGCATAGGTGAAAAGCTTACTATCATCACGTATTTGATTACTTCGTTCGTCTCTTCTGTGATCATCTCGTTTGTATACGGTTGGCTGCTGACGCTGGTCATGTTAAGCTGTGCTCCCATCATAATAATCGCCACGGCTTTTGTCGCTAAGATGCAGAGTTCTCTCTCGGCTATGGAGCTGGCGGCCTATGGTCAGGCTGGTAACGTCGCCGAGGAAGTTCTTGCTTCTATCAGGACCGTGGTCGCCTTTAACGGCGAGAAGAAAGAAGTTAACAGATACTCGGAGAAGCTTGCACCCGCGGAAAGAAATGGCATCAAGAGGGGCATGTGGTCAGGAATCGGTGGCGGCGTCATGTGGCTGATCATTTATCTCAGCTATGCATTGGCATTCTGGTGAGGATACGTGTTATTATCGCAAAAAGCACATTTCGCGCTATATTTATATCCGAACAAGTCTGTACTTTACAGATATCTTGTAAAATTTGATAACTTAAACGAAAAGTATCAGAGATATCTACATCACGCGTGTAAGTCGTAATTAAAAATTCAGTTCCCCGTGATAAGATATTGTTCCTTTACTCCAAAAGTGATACAAATAAAAAAACGTGATTTTCGAGGTATTATGATAAATAAGTTAAATAAATATTATCCTTAATTATCAAAAGTGAACTAATAACTTAACTTCATAAAAAATTGAGTAAAAATTGTCAAACTCAAAAAGAGATGATTAAAAAAATTAGCAATTCAAAAAAGACTTTTTGGCCTAAGATTTTTATTGTACAAGGCTTTGAAAAAAATGTTGAAAAACTCAGGATTATATTTCAACATCTGTATATTATATTATTAAATAGTTTTTAACTCAAATGTTAAATCCTTTATTTAATAAAGTTGAAAGAACAAAAATAAAGAAGAAATTTAAGAATAAAATTTTGCTTGTATCATAAGATTTTGATTACAGAGAGAGAGAGAGAGAGAGAGAGAGAGAGAGAGAGAGAGAGAGAAGGTTAATAATAATTTTCTATAAAGTTAATAAATAATTTTTTCCTTTTTCTGATAAACTTAATTTTTTTAGTTATATCACTTTTTAAATACATAAGAAAACGATATGTCATTCAACGAACTATAATGAATTGATTATTCTGACATTATAGTCTCAAATATAATTATTTCGCTTGGATTGTCCTTAATTTAACAATATGAATGAAGCAATTTCCATTTTTCAAATATAAAAATCACAGGATAGATAATTGGACATTTACGTCTGGAATAGCATCACTCCTTTTTACGCAGTTCGACGAAAAAAGCGTTAACTTTCGCGAGGACGTGTCGCACTCCGGCAAAAAGCACATTTTCCCTTGTGCCGCAGGTACGGGGTAAAATTAATTCTGGACGACCGCTCGAATGAAGACAAAGAATACACGCCAGCAGTATTAGTGATCGTGTTCTTCGGCGTTCTGAGCGGTGCACAAAACATGGGCTTGACTTCGCCGCATCTCGAGGCCTTCGCGATGGCCAGAGGTTCGGCGGCTGCCGTTTTCAATGTTATCGATCGGGTGCCATCGATCGACAGTCTCAGCACGGAGGGTCGACGGCTTGACTCCGTTAATGGAGAAATCGAATTTAGAAACATCGCGTTTCGCTACCCGGCAAGGAAAGATGTCAAGGTGCTTCAAGCACTGAATCTGAAAATCAATCGTGGCGAAACAGTGGCGCTCGTCGGCGAATCAGGATGTGGCAAATCTACATGTATACAGCTAATCCAAAGGCTCTATGATCCCATTGATGGACAGGTCAGTAATTAGAGCTCATTAAGCGGATTCTTTTTTTTTGCCATAACTTTGAGAGAAATGGTATGTATAACCATTATTCTCAAGAAAGTTATTGACTATTTCCGTCGTTCGTTATTCATTAAAAAGTTATTAACAAAACAATTTTTATGAATAGCACACAATTTTTACACATTATTTCAGCAGTATTTCAGCTAAAAATATATAAAAGGAGAGCAACCTTGACTTCGATATATTTTGTCAAGATCATGATGTGACTTGAAAAGATTTTAGCTGCCGCTTGTTATCCATTAAAAAGTTATTAAAAAAAAAATATTTATCAATAAAACGTAACTTTTAAACATTGTTCTGCTCCAATGAAACAAATTCTCTGCTTTAAAAATGCAAATCATTTTCTTATATAATTTTTGTGCTTTTAAAGCAGAAAATTTGTGTTTTTAAAGCAAAGAATTTATATTTTTGAAGTAGAGAATTTTTAAATACGTACACCAATTTTCTGTTTTAAAAACATAAAAATTATTTTGTTTATATCTTTTTAATAAATAAGGAATGACAGAAAAAGTTAATGACCTTCGCCTCCTTGAGGGTCAAGGTCAAAGTCACTTGAAATTCATTGGAGGCTGCTATGTAATGGGGAAGTTTTATCCCATTTATTTTATTGATACGTAAATTACAAAAACTTTCTTATTTTTTAGACCCCTAGTCTATAATTCTTAATGACAGTAAATACCGTTATATTGTTGTTGTGTATAGCTCTTTCACCATATACAAAACTTAATCTGTGCAACGACAATGTAACGATACCATTATAGTCGTTAAGAATCGCAGAATAGAGAAGGCGTCTAAATTAAAAAAAATAATCAAATTTTGATTAAAAACACAATTGTTTAATTAAAAAATAATATTCTAACCAATTTTTACTTAAAATAACCTAATTTTTATGAGAACAGCACAATTTTTTAATTGAAAAATAAAAAAGTTTTTGTAATTCACATATATCAACAAAATAATGGTTATTCATATATCAAACATTTCTCTCAGTAAAGGAAAATTCGCCGGTTCGTTAGAATTATTCATTTTAAATACGCGTACGATGCACGTAGCGCGGAACAAAGAGTGCTTTAATTTAAAGGCACAAAAATTTTGGATATCGCATTTAATTTTTTGTTTATGCGGAAGACTTACTGTAAACTTGGTTTATGGAATTCTTTTAATGGCAAAAGCGTATAAAGGCAGAGAACTCGCGTGCTATGACGGGCGTTGTTACGCAGAGAATAAAGTTAATAACCGCGCATATAGCGTCATAAATGTCCGAGTGACGTTTTTATCCTTCGCGAAATTATAGTGACGCTGAATAAATGGCATTGCGCTGCGGTAATTTACTCTGGCGTTATTCAGAAAATAATTGTTTTATCATCGTCATCTTTGTATTATATTTTTCATCATTTTCTGTCAAACGTCTTCAACCGTTATCTTATCATTCGGTTCACTTATCCTGTTTGTATTTTCACAACGAGGAAAATTCGCGAGAAAACGGCAAATTCTTTCTGCCGCGCTTTTTCGCAGGAAAGAGAGACGATCGAGATCGCATGCATCGTGTATGATGAAGAGTGTCGTTACAATGTTATTATTAATGCGACCCCGCGATTTTTACGGCGTTAAAGCTGTTGGCTATAGTAACGCAGCATCCTATTTGTAATAAACGTTTTATGTTTTATAACTTGAGGCTTTTCACCACGCCCTATCCAACGAATATATTATGTTTGTGTGTTTAATAAAGTTGCGAACTATAAGTTCGCTTTTAGTTACGTGTAATATTAAACAACATGTACAAACAATATATGCATTTTATCATAGATCCATGCTGTAGGGATATAAAAATGATTATTTTTTTATCATTATGTGATTTTATGTACATATTAACCTTACTATACATTAAAAAAATTTTTTTAATTAATTTCATAAGTCTTATTATATTTAACATTGCTAATATTTTTATGTTGTTATTGTTATATATAATTCGAGATTTACTAAGAAAATAACTAAGATTGAAAAAATATATATAGCTCCATTACTATATTACTCCATTACATTAAAAGTAACACAACTACAAAAAATTAAGTTTTCCATAAAAGGAAAAAACTATTTTTTAAGTTGACAAAAAATTATTGGCTAATCAAATTGACAAAAAAAATATATTCTTAACATGGTAAAATATTATTTTTGTCATTTTCGTTTCGCATAAAGAAAGAACAATTTTGCTAAATACCTATAGATTTGAAAATAATTTCGTTAGATGATCAAAATAATTATGTTGAAAACTAAACAATGAAGACCAATGCTGCAAAAAATTTTGATATTCTAGAAACCAGCTCGAGTTTCCAATAGAAATTATTTTAATAATCCGACAAAATTATTTTCAGATCTGTATATCTTAGCAAAATTTCAAATCTTTCAAAACTCTTCTTTCCATGCGACTCTTTAAAAAATCATCTTTTCTAAGTTGTGACGATTTTTTTAAACCATCTTTTTTGAATTGTGATGTATAACTATTTTTTTATAAAATTAAGTTAGTTCGCTTTTGATGATTAATAAAGTAAATTTATCTAACTCATTCGGGATGATAACTAAAAAATAATGTTCTTTGAATTGTGTCATTTTTGAAGTAAAGGAGCAATGTCTAAAATTGTATATATATTCCCTTTAGAAGTTATATTAATTTTATTAGTTATTTAATAATTTCTATCCTGCTTAGAAATTAATAATAGTGACGTTTATTTTCAAACATAATTCTCAAGTCATTGTTTCACTCAACTAACGATTCTCGTTTCGCGCGAAATGTTAGCATGTCAGTTCGGCATATGTGTGCGCATAGATGGAGAGACAATTTTCAAGAGTTCCCGTATTTTTCTATGCAGGTTCTGCTGGACGGGGTCGACGTGTCGACATTGAACGTTCAATGGCTACGCTCTCACATCGGCGTAGTTGGTCAGGAACCGGTTCTCTTTGACACAACGATACGCGAGAACATCCGTTACGGAAATGACAGTATTACCGAAGAGGAGATGATCAAAGCCGCGAAGGAAGCGAACGCTCACGACTTCATCTGTAAATTGCCAGAGGTGAGCGCCACCGCCCTTTTCTCGTATTCCAGCTGCGCCTTTACTCGTCCGGAATTATAGCTTCCTTTTGGTCGTGCTTCGGCGCGAGAGTTCGATTGATTCAACCAGTTTCATTCGGGAAGTCATAGAGCCAGCGGGTACGTCGACGTTGTCACCCTATTGAAAACCCAACGAAGATATTGTATTCGTTCGGTGTTGTCTCTTCTGCCAAAACTCTTCAGCATTAGTATGCTTGGAATATGTTAAATTATTGCAGAACGAATGTAATCATTAGTTAAGCTAATGATATATAAAAAATGTAAGAAGTCAACGTTTTTTATTTGTTATATAGGAAAAACGGTTTTGCTAAAGTATTTAAAAAATTTAAATACAAGTTTAAAAATAATTTCGTTAAATAATTATCGAAAAAGAAACTGTCTATTATCACTGGCCTAATGGTTACTATTATTTACAATCACACGAGAGGGCAATGCAATGTTTGAATTTAAAACCGAGTTAATATTAGAGAATATTTTAATTTCGATAGTCTATAAAAGAAGGGTACAATTTTTTATTTTTTCGCAACTGTTTGTTTTATTTCTACATTTTCTTGTGTGTATTTTTCTTCATGGAAACCAAAAATTATCATAAGTTTTTAAATGATTGAAGCGTAATGATTTCGTAACACAATGTGAGTAAGGATTTTATTAACTTTGAATCAATGTATCAATTTTTCCTTGAGTGTAGTGTCATTATTATAACAATTTTCGATTTCCATGAAAAGAAATATGTAAGAAAATATAGAAATAAAAAAATCTTCGAACGATCGAAAAAAGTTGTATCTTTTTTTTGTTATCGCAAGAAGATGCGTGATTCGAATGCTAATCGATGAAATCTTATTGGACGCAGGCGGGTTTTGAGATTTCGCAAGCATAATTGAAAAGATAAATTAACAAGTAACGAAAGAGATAGTGTAATTTTCCTGAATAATCCCCCGACTGGATACAACCATTGTCATCACATTGCGATATGTTAACAATAGTCTCAGGTGTGCCAGGCAGTCCACGCGGTACGCGCGCAAACAGGCGATAAAACACGCGTGTTAAACTGTGCGCGGGGCAAATAACATTATCCGAGATTACGCTTGTGTCAACGATTAGGCGTTTATTAGCGGATTATCGGTAGGTGAATTCAATACTCGCGTATTCCCATATTAGTCCCATTGGATCGTTGTCCGCGTTCGCATACACATTTGGAGCTTATCCCGCTTGCACGTTCGCACGCGCTGCAATTTAACGTGCAGCTTCATTTTCACCGTTAGAAAAATAAAGTTTGCTCGGTATGAGTTCATCAGGATTGTAATTAGTCAGCGTGCTCCACCTGCACTGCCGCGATAACGTTTTTGGACAGTAACTACGATATCTGTTAAATCGCATTGTAAATGGATTTGATGGATATCGTAATAACAGAAATCCCGTTAACTGGAAGCTGCTAGCTTTTTAAATCCGACTTGCCCGCGGAAAGATCACTGATCGAGAAATGCCTCTATCAGCGGACGTGTTGCAGCTTGTGAATTTATTAAACCGTGCGTTGCATATGCACCATAAGTGTGACATGCTATTTCGTCCTTGATTAAATACCTGTTACTTTGAACCGCAAATTGTTCGAAAACTGTCATCGGACGATTGGTGGCATATAGCCGGTATCAAATGTGCACAAAGAGCGTCAATTTGCAAATTTAAATTTAAAAAAAATATAAAAAGGAAGGTATTGCACAATAAAAGAAAAAAGCAAAAAAAGATATTCGTTGAAATATTTGCGATAAAAATTGAATTGCTAGAATGTCGTTAATATATTGCTATCGCGAAAAAGATTTTCGAAAAATATCTTTTTACTTATTTCAAAAAATTGTTTTCAATAATTTCAACTTAAAATTCAAATATAATATAATTAAAATTCACAAGATTGATAATCAGGGAAAACAGTCAAAGAAACTAGTCAGAGAATTTTGCAAAATTTTCTGGAGAGAGAAAATTAGAATTCTTGGTTTTAAAGAAGTATAATATGTATACATTTACGCAGTTTTAGGATATTACCAAATTTAGGCCGTATTCGTATTTTACTGCCAGTTGTCAGTACAGTATAATATACGTAACGGAAACTATAGATTTTCAGTACTGACAGTCAACTGGCAGAAATATACGAACATGGCCATAATTAAATGCAAGTAATGTAAACATTAATAGTAATTTATATTGTTATGTCAAATTGTTCTCTCAAAATATTTGACGATTTCGAAATCAGAACGAAACTACAAACAATTTCAAAATATTATTAAAAACATTGAAAGAAAAAAATCATAAAATTTTATTTGAAAATAAGGGAAAGACTGTGAAATTTTAGAATGAGGAAATTTTAGATTGTGGCGCGCAACCCATAATTCAGAATGCACAATACTAATAACAGACAATACGAGAGAATTACTATCGATTCCGAAAATTTATCTTTCTTGAGACACGCACATTTTGCGATGTCGCATTCTAATGTCAATTCGCGCACGAGGATCAGGAACCTAAAGCAAGTTTGTGGATGGATAGGGATACGATAGTCCAGTGGGCGAAAGAGGCTCTCAGATGTCCGGTGGGCAAAAGCAAAGGATTGCCATTGCACGCGCGTTAGCGAGGAATCCGGCGATCCTTCTGCTGGACGAGGCGACGTCTGCTTTGGACGTTCACAGCGAGGCGATTGTGCAGAGAGCTCTCGACGTGGCAGCGAAGGGAAGAACAACGATTATAGTCAGTCACAGACTTTCCACTATCACGAACGTCGATAGGATCGTGTTTATCAAGGATGGGGTCGTCGTCGAGGAAGGAACCCACGACGAATTAATGGCGCTCAAAAATCACTATTACGGACTGCATTCCGCTCACGCAGATGCTGCAGCTAAAGGTGCGCTTTAGCTCACAAATGTTTTATGCCGATGTTTCTGTGAACGTTTAGGTATACGATAAATTTTTTGTTATTCGCTATTATATAGATAAGGTCTCGAAGGTCAAGACCATTGTCTCAACTCCGAAGATGAAGATAAAACCGCCATTAAATCAACAATTCTCAACATTATCCGCGCACTCTCATCGACTCTCTCTCGCGAGATCCTCGAATGAGGAGGAATTGGACGAGCAGGAGAAACCTTACGACGCGCCTATGATGAGAATATTTGGATTAAACAAACCGGAATGGCCATTAAATTTAATCGGTAATTTCTTGCTAACAAAAGCAAGTAGTGATAGTGATCTGTTAAGAGTTTAAGTCTTATGAGAGCATAGAGAATATACATTACTTTTTTCATTAATAAAAAAATGACCAATCATTTTTCTTTAATACAAATTCTATCCTTATTGGAATACAATCATATAATGCTTGAATGATCATTAATGGATTTAGATAACATGAAATTGTTTAGCATTTTATATAACACATACATTTTATACAACACTTATATAACATTATTTATATCTA